TGTGATTACTCCTAATTGTTACTTAAACAGTTTTTGAACATAACTTTGTGAAAAGTGATTCTGAACTTTATTAAAATAGATTCCTATTACTTGTTATATCTCTTACTACTGATTAGATTTTATTTAAAGGAGTAGAAATGATTTACATTTTATATTTATATTTTTTTCTTAAGAAAACAAGGTCCTTAAGCTTGTGTGAGAACTTGAAGATGCTTCCTTGTTTGTGGAATGCTTATATAACACTCACTTCTCCCTGAAAACACACACACAGGGTGCACAGTGGGACTTTGGAGGGACAAAACATGGCCACACTGAAATTTTTTTTTTCCTCTTTTTTTTTTTTTCCTGGCAGTGGACTGATGGACACACTGAAATTTTAAGGGCTTCGAATGAGGCATTTGGATATGAAAATACTTTTTTAGAAAGAATGTATAAATTTATCTCTTCTACATTGATGATCATATTTGATAGGAAAAAACCTACATTTTTTAATACCAACAAGGAGAGTAAATTATCTTTGGAAATGTATTCTTATGTTTGCAAATGATGCTTTAAAAAACAAATTATGGACTCTGATTTCATTGGAATGATGAAAGTTTAGGAATAGTGAAAAGATTTGAAGTGTGATTCTAAGATCTTCCGATAATTTGTTGTATCCTATTGTCCAAGTCATTTAACTTGTTTTTGCATTTGTGAGATAAAGTGCTTATGCTAAATTATTTCAGATATATAAAAAGCTTTGGCATCTATGGTGTGGTTATAATGGACAGATGGAACCAATGAATACATTCAGCAGTACTGTGTTATTGAGCACTCAATCATTTGGATTTTGGGTAATTTTCAATGTAAACAGAGAATACCAATTTAGAGAGCACTGTTTCTTCAGTGATAGAATATGTATACTGTTTCTGATATAAAAATGAAGAAATAAAGCAAAACCCACCTTCTGCCAGCTAAAGTTGGAAACACAAAAATGTAAGTGAAAAAATGTCCAGATTTTTCCCCCTTTGAAATATTGGGACTGTGTATATAAATATTTTGATCCCAAATCTCTAGTGCTGATAACTTTATATGATAGAGATATTATTATGTTAACTCAGGGTAGAATGGCTGTTTAACTATGGTTACTTCTCTTATTTTTATTTATTTTTTATTTTTTCTCCTTTCTTTGAGGCTGTGGATGGTTACTTTTTTTTTTATACTTTATTTATTTTTTTTATTTCGGCATATTATGGGGGTACAGATTTTAAGGTTTCAATAAATGCCCATTTCTCCCCCTCCCCCCAAAAGTCTGAGTCTTCATTATGATCATCCCCCAGATGGTGCACATCTCACTCATTATGTATGTATATACCCACCCCCTTCCCCCCTCCCACCTGATACCCTATTGCTGTAGTACCTATGTGTCCACTTAGGTGCTACTCAGTTAATACCAGTTTGCTGGAGAATATATCTGGTGCTTGTTTATAAGCTTATATAGATAGGCTTTAAAAATGATCTGAATTAATTGAAAAAATATAGCTTGGTGTTTTTTAGACATTTGAAGTGTTTGAAAACTGTAGATCCTCTCCATCCCCTCAGAAAAAAATAAAATAAACACAACATACATTCTTATTTTTAAAAATATCTATACACATTCATATATATCCCTAAAGTCTTTTGGTGGGAAATATAGGCTGGTGGTGCATGACAGTGACATTCAGCTAGAAGATTTGTCACATGTGTCTATAGGATCTACTAGTGTAGATTTCTCACTTAATGAAAATACCTCTGAGTTTTGTTATCATTTTAAAATTTACTTGCATATAAATCCAAAGCAAATCAATTTCATAGAAGTGTGCTGCTTTGAATTTTGTGATTTAGCTTATAAGGGGGATTATATAGTTGTGTCATTAGACACTGATCCCTGGACCCAGGGTAATAAATGAACTTCAGTTATAATGTATGGATGTTGTAAATATAATTCTTTTTCTAAAAAATTCCATTGCCAAAAATATTAGTGAAAAAAATTTAGTAGAGCATGATTTATTCACTGTGATTTATCTTTCATTGGTCACTACTGCCAATAGGAAATGCTTTTGAAATTATTATCCAGGTGATGAATATATTAAGTGAAAGATGAGTGGTAAAAAGATGAGTGGTAATCTTATCTTGGGGAGGTAGAAGAGAATAGCTTAAAGTATTGCCACTTTATATATTTTTTTTATATAGACTTCGCTTATTTTAGTGTTAGACCTTGAACTTTAGAGATTTTCTAGGACAATTTCCCTTCATTTTTATAGGAGAGAAATTCAGGGGTAAGGGATTTTCCCCAAATCACATATTTCACTGCAGAGTTAAGGATTAGGACTCAGGCATCCTGACTTTCGGACTCTCCCTCTGCCCCCACCCACTTCTGCTCTTCCATCATTATCTGGCAATAGCCTCTAGTCTAAAAAACAAATCACATTTTTCAAAAATTTACTTTCTAAGTCTTTTAAATAGCTATAGATTTAATGCCTAAAACATGAAAATTAACTTTTAGGCCAGACAGGGCGATCATTCACTCCTGTGATCCCAGCACTTTGGGAGGCCGAAGCAGGAGGATTGCTTGAGGCTGGGAGTTCAAGACCAGCCTGGGCAACATAGTTAGACTCTGTCTCTACAAAAAAATTTAAAAATTAGCCAGACATGGTGGTATATGCTTACAGTCTGCGCTATTTGGAAGGCTGGGGCAGGAGTATTGCTTGAGCCCAGGAGTTTGAGGTCACAGTAATCACGATTATGCCACTGCACAGCAGCGTGGCAACAAAGTGAGCTGCTGTCTCTTTAAAAAAAGGAAAAAAAACATTAACTTTTTGAGGCTATGAACAACTTAGAACTTCTTTTCTTAAATTTGTCTTTGTTTCAAATTAGAATACAGCCAGTCCCTGGGTTATAGATAACCCATCTATGGCATTCCATACTTATGAATAGGCTCCCAAAGCTCCCCATAAGGATAATTTTTAATTAATAATACAGGAACTAGTTTCTTCCACGAGTGTAAACAAACCAACATGGCATAAGTGCTTCCTTGGTGGGCATCTTTCTGCTAGTGGCTAGTCTCATTATTTATACAATAACTTACGCACAACATCACTTTCATCCTAACTTTTTAATTTAATTTTGAGAGTCTGTGTTTACCCTTACGACCGTGCTCCAAAATGAAAGTCCGCTGCAAGTCCAGCTGAACTGGTAGCAAAGACAAAGGTGATAGTAATAATAGAAACAAAAGTAGAAATAATTAAGTGTTTGGAGAAAGGCCAGATGCCATATTCGTTGAGAAACCATCAGGCTTCAGTCACTTGACTGTTGGAACAATTATAAAGGATAAAGTGAGAAAAATGAAATGTGTGAAAGGCAGTGCTCCAATGAAAGCATCAGTTATTACTAAGCAGTGTGGTTATTCTTTTTAAAGTTTTCTCCTATCTAAACTTTTGTAGTTTGTTTTTATGTTCTGTTTGTTTGAATTACAGAGCACAGTAGTTTCTGTAACTTACTACAGTACAGGGGTATTATCATTACAGTATTATACTGTATTATTATCACATATGAGTTATTATAGTATTGTTATTATTATTACCTATATGTGCTTTTTTATTTTTTTGTCTTTTTTATTTTATTTCCCCTCCCTGCCCCCATATTCCTTAATCAACAAATCTGACCTAAGGACGTTCTCAGGAATGTATCTTGTCTATAACCCAGGGACCACCTTTATTTACATAAAACATTATTTCTTAAGGCTATATTCATTTTTTCTGTAATTTTTCTTTTACTGTTTGAAAATACTAGTTGCTTTAAGGCAATATAGAAAATGTTCTTTATGGTATCAAATCATTAAAACTACAACGATTTTTTTTTTTTTTTACAAATTCTTTTTGTAGACACAAAAATAATTTACTGTTTCATTTTCTACTTTAGTTTTAGAATAGGCAGTGGTTTTTGAATTGAAAGAATGTAGGAGGATAGGTCAAGGTCAGTAAATTATCTATTATAAAACTAACAAGTAGAATTGTTTGTCCTTCCAGTACATGCTATTATCAGAATTTTCCATTTGTCGATCTATAAATAAGTTTTCTCTATATTAAGAAAGCTATCAAAGCTAACATTTTGAGGATCATTACTTTATTTTTCCCTAACGTAGGGACTTAAAAGATAAATCAACTGGAGTTATAACTAAGTACTCAAAGTTGTAAATGATGCCTGGAGTTGAGTAATATTCAATGCCAAGACCAAAGTGGTTGAGAGCCATAACCTGCATTTATATTCAAATTCTTAACAGTTATAGAAGTTTTATAACAAATACAGTTTTAAAAATTATGGTGTACTTTGGGCTTGACTAGATGGGAAAAATATTTTTAAGAAATTATGGTGTACTAACTTTATTAATTAAAATCCTCTTTATGAAACCATATTTTATCCTAGAAAATGGCCTTACGCACTCTCCTTGAATTTATTGATTTAGAACAAAGTCTTTCAAAAGCATATGAAAAGATTTGGGAAAATTGCAATGCTCATGGTCTCCAGCTTGCTGATGGTATTTTTTTCTTTTTTGTAGTTTATAAAGCATTTTAAACACCTTCTAGAATGCAATTTTACTTCTTCAGTAATAAGTAGTATTCTGTCCACAGGGTTTCCAAAGTTAGCTTTCATTTTGTAATGCAAAAGCTTCCCTGTTGATATAAAATGTTAGGACATTTTAATTAGGAAAATAGATCATGGAAACTTTATATAATGGAATAAATTTTTTTAATGCTTCCGTGTTCTAAACTGGAATGGAATATAAAGATTTTCATTAAATTAGGTCTGTTTTGAAAGTTGAGGAGTCAAGAGAAAAGGGTTTGGGATGATGATTATGAAATGTACTTGGGACTCCATGTGGGAGGTGGGGTCAAAACAACCCTTTAATCATAAATAGTAAGGAAATTTTTACCCAGGGCATTTAGGTTACATGGTTCTTTTCCCTTTTTTGTTTGTTACAGGCAAAGGGGAAGATAGTGATGTACTCAGTATAAATGCAGATGCTTATGACAGCGACATAGAAGGCCCATGCAACGAAGAAGCTGCTGCTCCTGAGGTCCCAGAAAATACAGTGCAAAGCGAAGCTGGTCAGATAGATGACCTGGAGAAAGACATTGAGAAAAGTGTGAATGAGATTCTGGGACTGGCAGAGTCTAGCCCAAAGGAACCCAAAGCAGCCACCCTGACTGTTCCTCCACCAGAAGATGTTCAACCTTCTGCACAGCAGCTGGAGCTGCTAGAACTTGAGATGAGGGCAAGAGCAATTAAGGCCCTAATGAAAGCTGGTGATATAAAAAAGCCAGCCTAGTTGTTTAACTTGAGTTTGAATTTTAGATGTGTTTGAATGAAGCCATGTCATATACTTTTGTATCTGAAGTTTATTTTGGGTCTTACGTGTTACTTCTCATATAACCCTTATTTGGTAGACTCATTTTGACCTAAAATATGGTTGTTGTTATTGTTTTTTATTTTATATTAGAAATGTGTGTTATTGTCTTATGAATTCATGACAAATATAGTTGGATAGACTGGATACTTTGTTAAATGATTATTTAGCTATGTCTACAAATTATCTTAAAAGCCATTAGCAAAGAGTCATGGTTTATTTTTTTATTTTTATTTTTCTTTATTTTTAAAAGTTTGGGCACCAAACCTAAAAACTTAAGAAAGATCGACCAAGCATGTTTCTCTTAAGGCTACCTATATTTTGCAATAGACTATTAAATTATTGCTCCTAGATTTGTTAACAATTTAAGAAATTTAGTTTTGCTTATATACACTTTTAAAATATGTACTATTTTGAAGATTTCTTATATGGGTGTGGATTTCTTAATTAAAAGTGAATAATTTTTGTTATCAGGCTTAGAGATTTGAAATGGCTTAGAAAAACTTTTTTTATAAAAGAAAGGATTTAAGGCAATTTTTAACTATGTAGAGTTAATTGCCCATGTTTAATTACAGCAGATGAGCCATTCTAACAGGTATTTGATACTATTGGACACTTCATTTAAATTTTTTTCCTCACTAAAAAAGGAACAAGTTTTCATTTACATTCCAAGCTATCAGGAAAAGGAGAATATTTTATTATACATGATTTCATCTGGTGTTATTGCTTGAAGATTTGATATGCTATAATTCCATGAATCAAAAATAATAAAAGTCTATCATTCTGGACCTGAAGACTTTTGATATTTTTCCAAAAGCAAAATTAATTTCAGGAACCTTTGCTAAGTTGCTATAATTAATCTAATTTTGTATCGTTTTTTAAATTAACATTCTGCCACAATTAACAGATGTGTTTTTCCTCCATCACTAATTGCAGTTGTTTGATATCAAAATAAATTTTAAGTAGAAACTCTTAAACTAATTTTTTTCCTAAAACATAAATCCGGAACCGTTGTTTTTATATTTGATAACAAATATAATGTATTTATAAGCCATGCTCTACTCATCTTGTATGAGGATTTTGCTTATACACAAAACTTTCAGGGATTGTGTTTTATTAGTGGGCTTAATTATATGTTAGAGAGTTTTTAAATGGAAATAGAGGACATTTATGAAACGTTGGAGCTGCAGTTACAGATTCGTTTTTCTGTTGTTCCTGAATATGCCATTTTTTCCCCTTCCCTGAGTCTTTCTAATGAAGCCCATAAGCCTGTATCATTTGAAATGCGTCTCTTAGGCTGGTAACTGTGAATATGATTTAAGTTGTGAGTTTTCATTATCATAGTTTCAAGATGAAGAAGCATTGATTATGGTAAAATGCTTTTTCTATTTCAGCTTAAACTTAACATTAAAATATAAACCAGTAAAGAATAAACTGTATTGCTGCTTACTAATTATAAAATACAGTAGATAGCATTTGTGTTATTAAACATATAAGAGTAGGAAAAGGTCTTAGTGCTTTGTAGCTGATTAAAGTAACTACTTTCATGAAGCATCATGTGTCAGTTCTATTCAGTGTGCAGAATGGTTTGGAGGACATTTTACTGAAGTGGATATGTGTGAGGTAGAATGAACTGAACAAATTAGAGGCTACTTAGATTCCTACTTTGGAAAATTTGCTTTTTCTCTTATTTATTCTTTTTTTAATGTTGAAAGACTTGAGAGCTTTTAGAAAATATGTGGCTTTAAAGAATAGAAATAAGTTTGTGTTAGAAATGTCTAAGTAATGGAAAATACTGTGTATTGATCTGATGCTGCCATTTAAATCATCAGCTCAGAGGTATTTGTTGAATGCATTCAAGGTTGCACCGTCTTGTTCAAATCTTAAACCTACAGATGTTACAGTATAGATTTTTAGCATGGAATAGGCTGATTAATAAAGACATGGAATGCTGCTTATTTTGATGCCTAATTCCTTCCTTTGGTTAAGGTAAGGAAAATTTTTAGGTAATATTTAATTAGTAATTAAATTAAAACAGTGAAAAAATTGGCAGCTGAATTTTCCATTCAATGTCAAACAATCAGCTGGGTGCGGTGGCTCACGCCTATAATCCTAGCACTTTGGGAGGCTGAGGCAGGAGAATTGCTTGAGCTCAGGAGTTCAAGACCAGCCTGAGCAAGAGTGAGACCTCATTTCTACTATAAATAGAAAGAAATTAGACAAAGAGAAAAAATTAGTCAGGCGAGGTGGTGCATGCCTGTAGCTACTCGGGAGGCTGAGGCAGGAGAATCACCTGAGCCAGGAGTCTGAGGTTGCTGTGAGCTAGGCTGACTCCATGGCACTCTAGCCCAGGCAACAGAGTGAGACTCTTTGTCTCAAAAAAAAAAAATGTCAGGCAATCCACATATTTGGCTAGGGACTTGATTAAAATCTTGAATGTTGGTTAGCAACTGGTAATAGGTCCTTTGTAATATGCCATTGCCCCAAGCACTAAGCTTTGGTTTACTTTTAGATGTTTGTACTAATCCATACACTCAGATATATCCTAAAAATCTATCACCAGGTTAGCAGTTTATAACATACCAATGATGAAAAATCACCCCAAATCCCCAAATCTTTCTGTTGAACACCATCTATTCCTTAAGTCTATCAGCCATTATGTCCTTCCTTGTAAATCTTTTTGTCAAAACCTATTTTCAGCAAAATGTTAGATCCTAGGGCATGATCTGAGTAAATGTTTTGAATCATTTGAACAGTAATATAAATTGCAATAAAATATGTATTTTCCAATGCCATTTTCAAGGTAGATAAAGCTGGGGTGAACCTGAGATTTGGGCACTCTAAAAGTTTTAAAAATTCTCAGTTCTGGTCCATCATAAAAAAATAGGAAAAGAGAGTTCAGTTATAGACATTTTTTCTTGATTGCGTTTGTTTAATTCTTAAAAAAGTAAAACCAGTACATCTTAACTTAAAACTTCATCTTTATGTTTACATTTTCTTTATAGTTAAGTAGACTTCCTTTTTCAAAGAAGGGCTAATGAGGACATCAATAGGAAGTCAAATATTTTTTTGATATTTAATAATTATTTTAAAATGATTATGATGCAGTGAAAAGATTGTGAGAGTTAAGAGTAGAGAGTTCTGATTCTGCTCTGACAAGCTGTGTAACCTTGCAGAAGTAACTGTAAAATAAAGGAATTAGTTATCCAATACATAATATTTCCTTCAGTGTTAATAGTTTGTTATTCCAATGTAAAATACCACAAAATTTATGAAACTTAAAGAACTCTCTTGAATTCAAGCATTAATCTCCTTCCTTCCCCTCCCAACTCAATTCAAAATGAATAAATCTAGTTTCTATTTGTTGCACACTGTTACTGGATATGAACAACAATCTAGTTAAAAAAATTTTTTTTTTTTTACCTGTTATAGTATTCAGTGTCAGGATTGCTTGGTAAGTAAACTGCCTGGAATTACTGACTTTGGTCCATCAACTTATGTTATCTTTAATTTATTGTTTTACTCATTTCACAATAATATTTAAATAATTTTAAGTTAAAAAAGATTTTTTCCCAAAGCTTATAGTGAAAAATAGCACCTTCATTTTTATACCCAGCTGTTGCTACTGAGGTAACCATTTTTGTAGTATTTCTCTCTATTTTGAAATAACATGATTAATATGCCATTTCTTGATATATGAGTTTTAGATTTTATTGATCTGTTTGGAATACAACCCTCTACCTCTCTTCTAAATACATACCTTCCTCCCTCATCCCAAAACTGAGGTTATATCACACTTCCTGGTTAAGTTACCATTCATTGTACTATATTGACTCTAAATACTGTTCACAATGTGTGGTAATTATATTACTATTATTATATTACTGTTATATTACTGTCTAATTTCATTTTTTGGTCCAATTTTTAAGCTTTTTGAATTAATACAATTGCCTTGTTGTTTCAATTACTCAGTGTTCTATGTATCAGACATTAATTTATACTCAAGCTTTCATCTAGAAATGTGACTCTCCTCTTGATAGGTTCAAACACAATCTTTTTTTTTTTTTTTAAGACATTCCTCCTGGAGCGCTCTCTTTTTATGCTAATCTGAATCTCATGTTGGATCCCCATATCTTGAATTCTCTTCCTCTTCTTTTGGTTTATTCTTTTATTTTGGTGGCATACCTCTTCCAACAGCTTCCTGTGAAATGCTACATGAACAATAAATTGTTTTGATTCACTGGTATGACTCACCATGGCTCAGTTCTACCATATAGCAATTGAAACCCATACAGCAATCGAGACTTCATGTGAGTCTTGATGTTTAGGCTGGAAATCATTGTTCTGAATTTTACAGTATTGTACCAGTGCCTTCTAACTTCCATTAAAGCTGTTGATAATTTATTTGTCATTCTGATTCTTGATACTTAACATGTGTTCTGTTTCTTTCTCTTTGGAAGCTGTCAAGATCTTATCTTTATCCTTAGTATTGTGAAATTTCTTGATGTGTCAGGGTATGGGTCTTTCTTCATCTATTGAGTTAATCACTGGTGGCCTCTTTCAGTGGAAAACTTAATGTCATTCAATTCTGCGGTGTTTCAAAATACTACTTCTTGGATAAATTCCTTCCCTCTTTTCTAATCTCTATTTCTATAATTCATTTTATTAAGGTACTGATCTCTAGGCTTGATTTTTTTTTTTTTGTTATTGTTTCCAATTTCCATCTTTTCTACCCTCTGTATATTTTGTCAGTTTTCTAGTTCTTCCAATGATTTTTTAAATTTTATTTATTTTTTTTGAGACAGAGTCTCACTTTGTTGCCCTGGCTAGAGTGCCATGGCATCAGTCTAGCTCACAGCAACCTCAAACTCTTGGGCTCAAACAATCCTTCTGCTTCAGCCTCCCGAGTAACTGGGACTACAGGCATCTGCCACCATGCCCGGCTAATTTTTTCTATATATTTTTGGTTGGCCAATTAATTTCTTTCTATTTTTGGTAGAGACAGGGTCTCGCTCTTGCTCAGGCTGATTTTGAACTCCTGACCTTGAGTGATCCGCCCGCCTCGACCTCCCAGAGTGCTAGGATTAAATAGTTCTTCCAATGATTTTTGAAAGAACTTCAATCATATTTTTAATACCCAAAAGATCTTTTTGTTATTTTTTATTCTCTAAATATTCCCTTTTTAAAATAGCACTACAATCTTGTATCTGTAGGGCAATGGGTATCTGTAGGGCAATGGCTCTGGCATGGTATCCTGGTGACCTTGCACACATACTCTGGTAGGTCATGTAGGCAGAGCTCAAACATCACACTGACCTTGTGAATCTCTCTGGAGCATAGCAAGACAGTTTTGTGAGGAGCCATTACATAATCATTTTCTTAATTTGCTTTTTTTTTTTTCTTCAGGGAGGTTCCTATCTTGTAGAAGGTTATCTTTGAGGCAGTTCTCTCATTGCCTTTGAGAGGGGGGACTTTCTACCTTTCCCCACTTGGGGCACAGCTGTGGGCTATAAAATTGTTTAGCTGCAGTACAGAGTTAGAGCCACAGCAACAGGGTGTCCCATCACTCCTGTTGTACTGTCACCTTATCACTTTTGTGTTGGTATCACCCTGCACAAGGACCATGGGGACTTGGTAACTTTGACTACTGTTTTTTTACTGTCTATGTAAGTAATAAGCTACCTGAATCTAAAAAGAGCTTACTGTTTCTTTTCTGGCTCTGTCAGGACTTGCTTGCCCCTTACCTTGGCTTTATGCTTAACAGTTTCATGAGTATGATGTTTACTTTTCTGAGGATGTTAATTTTAACGGTTGTTTTCAAATTTTCTGCTGTTTCCTTCAGGTTATTGTTTTCTTATTTATTTTGCTCTCCATCTGATGTTTTCTCAAATTTCCTTAAGTCTTTGGTGATGTTTGGCTGCTTTTATGAGAGTAAGACACTAAAAAGCTGATTGGAAGCTCTTTGTTTATGGATGAGGCTCATTAATTGGTGGAATTGTCTTTTCTCTTGGGCTGGCTGAACATACCCACAGTTCACTGCAAAGAATTTTACTTTATCCCACTCTTTTCAGTAGGCTAGCCCTTAATTCTGGTTGGTACACCTGACTTTAGAATCTCAAGCTTCAGCTTCACCAAAGTCTTCTGTGGAGTTGGTGAATGAAATGAATGGTTGTTAACTGTGAAGGAGCTCTGGAGCTTTCACCCCAAAATATGACTCCTTGCTATAAAGACTATTTTGAATTAAAGACTCTTAGAGATTAACAGGGCCTTGGAAGAGGCTTCCCATATATCTGCATAAACTGGACCAACCTGATCAAAAGATCAAAGGGGGCAATTGACTTCCCTTCCTCTGCCTATAATTTCAATATCTTGCAGGAAAGAAGATCAAGAATGCAGCCAGACTGGGCCCAAGTCATTTAAAACATAATTCTTGTCTCTCAGGTTAATTTACAAGTCAATCTGTTTTCCCACCCAGTCATCTTCCCTAACATCCCCTTATCCACCTATACTCCTCATTCCCCCCCCTCCTCTAAAAGGCTGTATAAAAATGTCTGAACTTCATTGGGATACTAGGTAATCACTATGTGATTCTCCTCACGCACGTGGTAAACGAACCTTTCTCTTACTAATCCGCCTTAATTGTGAGTTGATCTTTCAGCGAACCTTTGGGGAAAGGGTAGCTTTCCTCTCATCCCTACAATTTGGCATAGCTAGTGTTAGGTCCATCTCCATATTCTTTGGTCCTCAGTTCCCAGTGTCAAGACTGAGTACTGCTACCGAGGTTGGCCAATGACGGAGTGATCACAAATACAAAGCAATTCCACACAGTTTATTACAGAAAAGAAACTATACAAAGTGAAAGTAAACAAAAGAAAAAAGGAAGCTACCCAAAGTGCAAATACATTCTAGAGAGGAACAGGTCAGTCTCCACGAGTGGAGAAAGATGGCGAAGACTCCCAGGTGGTTTTCTCTTATTGGCCAGGTCAGGGGGCGGGCTTACAGGAGGTGTGGGCTTTTACCAAATGATTATCGGGTGTTCTGCATGTTCCCGCAGTCCCTCCCCGCGATTGGTTCCCGGCTGCCCCACCCCTAGGAACCACCCTCCTGGCCTACACCGACCGCGGGCAGATCGGATCCCTGCCTGACAACAGCGGCGCTCGAAGCCACTCTGCTCTCCTGAAAGCCTCAGTGAGAAAACGTGGAACCCTGACCAGCCGGCAAATTGGAAAGATATCTTACTTGCCAGTAAGAGTCCCAGTTTTTCTCTCCGTGGGCTCCGGTTGAACAGACAGTAGAAGATTATTGTACTTTCCAAGTGTAAGATTAACGAGATAAAAAGTTTTGGTGAGTGACTAGTCTTGTGAGCCACTCTGGTATTGGTACATTTTTTTTGGCACTTTGTGGTGTGAATATTCATATTGTTTGATTCCCTCTCCTCTCAGAAATAGTCTTTTTCTTTTCTTTTCTTTTCTTTTTTTTTGGTTGTTCTTTCTTTTGTCGTTGTCTTTCTGTGTTGTTTTTGTCATAAAGAGGGTTGCCACAGGTCAGAATACAGGCGTAGCACCTCTGTCAGCCCGACACGTTGGAGCGGCCCTGCAGACTAGCCAGTTGCACGGTTCGGATTAGACCAGCGTCTGTTAAGGCAAACTTTGCTGCGGGTCCCCGAAAACAAAAACCCTATGAGGCTTCCCTCTTGTGCTGTTTTATGCCCCTGAACTTGTCTTGTGACTGGGAATTCTCTCCTCAGTCCCCGCCATGTCGGGGTAGGGGCGTGTTTTCCCCGGAACACGTCAGGCGGCTGGTCTGAAAAAGATTGCGAGTCCGAGACAAGTAAGATTCTGAGCAGCACACTCTTTGTGCCACATGTGTCAAGCTGTAGGGGTGTGAGTCTTTGTCTAAAAAAGATTTTGTATTTCGGAGAGTGAATTTTTGGGAATCTTGGAATTGCCTTCTCTGGGCCCTTACCAGGCTAAATCTGGAAAATTACCACCTGGGTTTTCTATGAGGAGGCATTGGAATAAATATACCATTGAGATTAATGGCCAAAAGATGAATCCTTTAAATTAAAAGACTTCTAAATTTTTAAAATAAATTTTAGAGATCTCTTATTCAAAACAATTACTTATTTGTATTAATAGAACAAATTATATTAAAGACACATAATGTTACAGCTAGACTTAAAAATTCTCTTGACAAAATTGAAGAGCAAATAAAAATCCTTTGAATAAAACCCCTGTGGGAAGAATGACATAGGCCAATTTGCTATGTTGCCTGATGGTTAAAGTTCTGTGCTTTTACCTCAGCAGCCTAGGTTTGATTCCTGGACAGGGAATGAACCTGTTCCAGTTTGACATTTGTGTAACTTTCTCCATTAATTGATTTTCTTTTCTTCTGTGCACAGCTTTTTTTTTTTTTTTTAGCATTTTATAGTTTTCAGCATACACATTTTATCCATGTTTTAGTAGATTTACACCTAAGCATTTAGTTTTGGGGATATAATTATGAATTATAATATATTTCAAAAATTGTGTCCATATGTATAATTGATTTTTGTGATTTTATCTTATATTCTATGACCTTATTGAACTCACTTATTCGTTTAAGGAACACTTTTTTCTTTCTTTTTTTTATTTGTGTAAAGTATTTTATTTTTTTATTGTATTATGGGGGTACAAGTGTTAAGGTTACATATATTGCCCATGCTCCCCTTCCCCCTCGAGTAAGAGCTTCAAGTGTGTCCATCCCCCAAATGTTGTACATCTCACTCGTTGTGTTTGTATATACCCCCCCTCCTCCCCCCACCACCTGCCCGACACCCGGTAAATATTATTCCTATATGTCTACTGAGGTGTTGATCCGTTAATACCAACTTGCTGGTGAGTACATGTGGTGCTTGTTTTTCCATTCTTGAGATACTTCACTTAGTAGAATGGGTACTGTAGCCAGGAATACTGGATCCAGGGTACTGTATCCAGCTGTATCCAGGAATATACAAGAGGTGCTATATCACCATTGATTCTTAAAGCTGAGTAGTATTCCATGATAGACATATACCACATTTTATTAATCTACTCATGAATTGATGGGCACTTGGGTTGTTCCCACAGCTTTGCAATTGTGAATTGTGCTGCTATAAACATTCAAGTGCAGGTGTCTTTTTCATAAAGTGACTTTTGATCTTTTGGGTAGATGCCCAGTAGTGGAATTGCTGGATCAAATGGTAGATCTACTTGTATTGCTTTAAGGTATCTCCATATTGCTTTCCACAGAGGTTGAACTAGTTTGCAGTCCCACCAGCAGTGTAGAAGTGTTCCTCTCTCTCCGTATCCACGCCAGCATTTGTTGTTCGCGGACTTTTTGAAAAAGGCCATTCTCTCTGGGATTAAGTGATATCTCATTGTGGTTTTGATTTGCATTTCCCTGATGATTAGAGATGTTGAGCATTTTTTCATATGTTTGTTGGCCATTATTCTGTCTTCTTTTGAGAAGTTTCTGTTCATGTCCTTTGCCCATTTTTGATAGGGTTTTTTGATTTTTTCTTGCTGATTTTCCTGAGTTCTAAATAGATTCTAGTTATCAGCCCTTTATCAGATGTGTAGTTTGCAAAAATTTTCTCCCATTCTGTGGGTTGTCTGTCTGCTCTCTTGACAGTTTGTTTGGCTGTTGTGCACAGCTTTTGCTTTCCTGTAGTCTCTAAAGGAATATGGGGCTTTTAAATATTTGTGAATGGTCAGCTGAAAAGCTGAGACCCTAGAAAATTATGTCTGGACAAAAAAATGTGGGTTACATCTTGTTTATGACTAACAAGACTTTTCTTTGAGTTGTTTTTGTGGCTTTTGTACAAAATGGTGTCCATCTCTTTAAAAATACTTCTTGCTTTTTTTGATTACGTTTTAACCTTGGTTAAGGCTTATTGGTTTCACTTAAAAGGATACTTTAAAAGCAAAAATATCAGCTGTTTGTCTGAGCTAAAATTTGCTCCATTCATCTTCACTTATTTCTATTCCTTCCTCTCTGCCAATTTGTGGAGTTTTGGTCAATCAAAGGTAGCCACTGTTCAAACTATATTTAAGTAAGAAAAATGCTGAGCTGTAACTAATCCAGATATTTCTATACCTAACTTCCATTTTCTGTACATCACTTTCTCTTTTCTGTCCGTGAATCTTCTTCAACCACACTACAGCATTAGTCTCTCTGAACCTGTTTTAGTTCAGCTGCCCAATGTGTGAATTGCTCTTTGTTCAATTAAACTCTATACAATTTAATTTTCATCAAAAGTGAGTTTTGATATAGAGTTCCCAGAGACCCCCCAGGAGCCCTGAGAGTCCAAGCATGGTACTCGCTGGACCTGTTGTCCTCTGCTCTCTCATTACAACTGAGGCTTATGGGTAAGTTCTGTCTCAGATTCCAAAGTGCCTCAGATTTGTGTTTTTAGCTTTCTGAGTTTGTTTGAGCAAATTTTAATCCTGAGTTCAGAAGTTGAGACAGAATCTAAACTAAGTCTGGGATCAGATGGGATCTCAATTAATTAGCTTAGATTCTAGTTAGAGGCCTCAAATGTCTGACTGGGCCAGGCAAAAACTAACAGTAAATGGTGATACGACAGTGGGTGCAAACTCCAGCTTTCAGGAATTCGTGGATATTTCTGTATTCTATTCCTTTGTTCCTTTTTCTTGTGCTCTAGGATAAGGAAAAATCATTGCCTAAGGTGATCATGGAGATCTGAGAGCCAAAGCCAAGACTCAAGGTGAAAATAGAATCCTTAATTTCTGAAGAACTGAGTACTCTACTTTCTGGCTATGCTTACCTATATGTCTATAACTATTAGGCCCTGAAAGCGGCAAACACAGAAATGGCAACATCTTACTAAAAGAAAATTGTTGCATAGCTAATAATTGCTTAAAACAACAAAATAGGTAATTATAAGATTGATAGTCTGAATAAAAAATAATATTTAAGAGCCAGCAAATAAATTCTTAAGAGCTATTAGAACTGGCTTCTGTATATACGTCTATGTGTCTATATATGTCATTTGTGATATTTTACTACCAAATTATGTAAAAAGAGCTCTAATTAATTAGCTTCAGATAATAAGTGCCTAAGTCAGATATTTTATCAAGAAGATAAAAATTAACTCAAATGTTTTTAATTCATGTGATTTTAAGAATACAGTAATTGACTTCTGCTCAACTTTCTTTTTGATTCTCTCTCTTACACTGTGATTCACAATTTCTCTTTACATTGATGTTTGGGGGAGATAATTAACAGTGGACCTGAATACCTCAGAGATATTGTGAGTCTCCTTTAATATTGTCTCAAATTCTTCTGTATCTTTTACCAAATTATTTCCCAGTGCACTGTTTGTAAATCTCACCAAATCTCTGGAGGAAACTGGCCCCCAAAGGCCTGGACTATCTCTTTTTGTCACTCCAAATTGTTTTTATAAATTTACCTTCAACTTTAAGCTTTTTTCACTGTTTGGTTATTGTTTATGTGATTAACGGATAGATTGAATGCTATCCAAATAGGCGTGCTGATGCTACAACAGTGGTAAAGAAATTAGTAACTGAGATTATTCCTTGTTTTGGTATTTCTTTATGGATTGAGTCAGATAAAGGGATTCAGTTTAAACCACTTGCTTGTGAAGGCTCTGTGATACTTATTAAAATTTCTTACCCCGTATCATCCCAATCCTCAGAGCAAGTGGAACATAAAAATCTTGAAATAAAAAGGACTTTGAGAAAAGTCTATCAAGACATTGGACTTAAATGGACAGATATATTACCATTGGCCCTTATAAAAATCCAGAATGCTTCAATTAGGAGACATAGTTTAACCTCTTTTGAAATAGTGTTCTCTCACCCCCTGCCTACTGACACGTATAAATCTTATATTCTGGGACTGACTGTACACTATGGGGATTTAAGTGAACAATTTGATAGGAAAACTGGGTACATACAGGCACTAAGTACCGTGTTTCCCCAAAAATAAGACAGGGTCTTATATATATTTTTTCCTTACGAAGATACCCTAGGGCTTATTTTCAGGGGATGTGTTATTTTTTTTTAAGTACAACAATCTACATTTATTCGAATATAGTTAAGTCGTCATCTTCTGGAACATCATCATAACTCTCCAAACCCCAAATTCCATCCTGAATTTCTTGTGACTCTATTTCCTTTAGAACCGTTGGCCCCAATCTCTCATGTCGAACAATAGAGCTCTCATGGGGCAGATGAGAAGGGCTGCTTGTCCTCTTTACCGCTCTGTGACAAAATGCATGGGTTGTGCAGATATGCTGAGTAGCCACACCCATCACTAGGTCTTATTTTCAGGGTAGGGCTTATATTGTGCAAATGCTTAGAAATCCTGCTAGGGCTTATTTTATGGGTAGGTCTTATTTTCAGGGAAACATGGTATGCTTGGAGCATAGCATCAACAGGTGAAAGGAGCATGGTCTCTGCCAACTGACAGACCTAGTCATCCTTTTAGACCAAGAGATCCTGTGTCCATCAAAGTTTTTATAAGACACATGCTATCACCTTCCTGGGAATTATGAAGTCAACTACCTACACTGCCATAAAAATAAAGGAAAAAATCCTCCTGGATTCACATCAGACATACCCAATTACACTGAGAAAATTGGAGTATGACCTCTACAGGTGACCTGAAACTAAGGATTTCCAGAGCCAGTTCCCAGGCCGTTGAAGCAGATGTCTTCATGAAATAGACAGCTTTTTCCCAAGATCACAGCTCAAGAAACTCTATTTTTCATCTATAAATTCCTTTTTGTCTTTTAATCCTCCCAAATGTTCCTTTTTAAACACTTCTTCTTTAAGCTTCCGCCTTCGAGGATTGCACATTGGAAACTGAGTAGAGTTTGCCTCAACCTATCTCATTTTTCCCTTTATCTTCCACTATGCCTCTTCTTTCAAATTATGCCTTGCTCTTACTAACCCTTGTTGTTTTTCCAGCAGGTTAGGCACAGACCTGGCATCCTTATACAACAGTCTTTCAAACCCTGGCTACACTGACTAGTCAGTCTAATGCTGGTTATGCCAACATCTAGACTGTACAAAGGACGCTGAACTCATTTTTGTTTCTGCCAATGTGAGTGCCTAGTGGAACCAGTCCAGAAGGTGGATGTATGACAAGATGTGGCATCCATAACCAGAGAAGAAACATCATGCTGCTTCTCCTGTTGGTGAGTCAACTGAACAGAGAAAAATCTCTGTGGAAGCTCAAAAAAACTGTCTTTTGCTCAGGTAAAGTCTCTGGAAAGAAAATTGTCCTCTGCATTGAAAACAGGGATGTTGCTGGATCTTTTCTGGGTGACATACTAGGGCAATATTGTGATCAGACTCTACAGTTTGATTCTACAGATGGCGCAGACAGCATTCTTGCACCTCTTAGATGGCGCTGACACTTACTCACATGATGTCAACGATTGTCAAATCACCAGATGTTATGAATGCCCCACAAGCTAGAGCTGTGCAACTTGGGGTAGTTCACTCATTCCGTTTGTTTAGATACCAGACACTGTATGTGGACAGAGCAAAAGTCTGGACTGACTTTGTTAGTACTGACAAAACCAAACCCTATAACTGCCAGAACTAAACCAAAAGCTTTTAATATCAAATATTTTATAACCTGTTCTGTTCCCATGGACTGGCAGGAACACATGGATACTGGAGATATGAAAGTGCCAGTGAGGAAGAAGAAGCACAGCAAACTCCAGACTGGGAGGTCACAGGTTCCAACCTGACTCTATCTGTACATTACGATGGTCTTTTTATTGTGTGTGGCAATAAAGTATACAAGTGGTTCCCACCTAGATGGTCAGAATGCTATGGACTTGATTATCTGACACCCTCTGTTACCAGGTACTCCACTTTAAAATGCCAGTTAAATTACAAACGTGGGCTCTTTAATAAAGTGGTACCAAGCAAATGTACTAGATGTGATATTATAAAAAACCCAGTTGTATATCTTGTATATCATAATTCTAAGTTCTTTTTTGTGCTCATGCCTCTTTGCCCAACATTTGGAACTCATCAGATTGAAAAGACAGTTTTGAATCTCTCCACAGTAGTAGAACAAGAGTTCAGTACCACCATGCAAACATTGGGAACACTTCAGTTAGAAGTCAATAGCCTAACCTCTGTTATATTTGAAAACTGCTGCCTCCTGGATACCTTCACAGCCCAACAGGGAGGAGCTTGCATGATTATGGGTGGAAAAAAAAATACTCTTTCTGCATAAAACCACATGGGGCAAGTAGAGACTGTGATCTGTACTTCCTAAAAGACAAGATAAATATTCTTCAAATTAATGAAGATCAGTTCCCAAGAATGGGAGACTGGTTTAGTGGGGCATCAGAAAATGTGGTTAGATCTATTCTTTTCTACTTATTTATTCCCATTTTAATTTATGTTCTTGTCTCTCTTTTCAGATCTCTTGTTACTAGACTAATAATCAAATCTCTCTTGCCACAGCTACTGACTGGCTTTTAATGTGTGAAACTTCTAGGGAAGTTCCAGATGGGAATGAAGGACCTGTGGAAATTTCACCTCAAAATATGACTCCTTGCTATAAAGACCATTTTGAATTAAAGGCTCTTAGAGATTAACAGGCCCTTGGAAGAGGCTTTCCCTCTATCTGCATAAACTGGACCAACCTGATCAAAAGATCAAAGGGGGCAATTGACTTCTCTTCCTCTCCCTGTGATATCAATATCTTGCAGGAAAGAAGACCAAGGATGCAACCAGACTGGGACCCAAATCATTTAAAACATAAGTCCTGTCTCTCAGGTTAATTTACAAGTCAATCTGTTTTCCCACCCAGTCATCCTCCCTAGCAACACCTTATCCACCTATACTCCTCATTTCCCCCCTTTCCTGTAAAAGACATGTATAAAAAAACTAAACCTCACTGGGATATTGGGTAATCATTATGTGATTCTCTCTATGTATGTGGTAAATAAACCTTTCTCTTATTAATCTGCCTTAATTGTAAGTTGATCATTTAGCAACTTTCATGGAAAGGGCAAGTTTCCCCTTCTACAACCATTTGTGAGGAGACTGTCATGTTTGACTCCTTGCACTGTATTTAGAAGAACCTGGAATTCTCATTATTGAACCTTATTTGGGTTTGTGTTTAGTGTCTCTTTCTTAGCTTCATCTCTCTACAGGCCCTGATTGCAACATTCCTTATCTGCTAAGTCACTTCCACTGCTCTCTAGCTACCAAAATTTTCTTGACTGTCAAGATGTTGAGTCAAGTAGTAAATAGGATAGTTATTTTACTCTCTTGTCCTTTTAGTGGACTTTTATGAGAGATTTGTGGCAACTGTGCTGTTTAGCATACTATGTTTAAGCAGCTATTATTTGATTTTTTAATCTATTTTTTTTTTCAGTCTTTTTTTTTTTTTTTTGCTAAATCCAAGTTTAGTGAGATTAATGTAGACACTTAATTGATAGCAAGTGGAAAAGGTTGTGGGGAAGAGAGTAGATGATGACAGCAATTAAAATCAGTAATACCTGAGGCAGGCAATGACACTTGATTATAGGTGGCCACATGTTTTTTCTCTCTTCTTTCACTCCAGTAAGTTTTACTAGACTATGTCTTGGTGGTAGTTGTTCAGAATTTTTTTTTTTTTTTTTTTTTTGAGACAGAGTCTCACTTTGTTGCCCAGGCTAGAGTGAGTGCCGTGGCGTCAGCCTAGCTCACAGCAACCTCAAACTCCTGGGCTTGAGTGATCCTTCTGCCTCAGCCTCCTGAGTAGCTGGGATTACAGGCATGCGCCACCATGCCCGGCTAATTTTTTATATATATATCAGTTGGCCAATTAATTTCTTTGTATTTATAGTAGAGACGGGGTCTCGCTCTTGCTCAGGCTGGTTTTGAACTCCTGACCTTGAGCAATCCGCCCGCCTCGGCCTCCCAAGAGCTAGGATTACAGGCGTGAGCCACCGCGCCCGGCCTGTTCAGAATTTTTGATTGGAAGAGATATTAAAGATCTAGTTCCAAATGCCAGCAATTGAATGTTTGTTTATTGCATATGGTTTTCAAAAAATATTCATTTTAAATTAGTGTTTTTCTATTATAGGAGAAGATTAAAGTTTTTGGTCATGCCACTTCCTTCCCTCATTCCCAAGAATCATTTCAGTGCATATAGTCACTCAGATATTCTTTTCCTCATACCTTTCTTGTTCAGTATTTAAAATCATTCTGTTCCTCAAATTAGTAGTATGCAAACTTCTTTCACTAATCAAAGTATACGTGTGTGTGTACATATATATGTATACATATACAATGTTGGCAAGAGTATAAGAAGTAAAATTAAAAGATAGAAGGCAAATAATCTGAAGAGAAAGCATTTGCACAAATATGAAAACCACTAAGTTTATATCCTTAAGATATCAAGATCTCATACATACAATCAAGAAATTATAAAGTCTCAGCCTAAATTGTATGTTAATTATGGCTGCTGTTTCTTTAAGCTCAGAGAATGTTGGACGTATGGGAGAGGGTGCTGGGAGATATGCAGCAGAATCACATTCAACAGGGAGAAATGACATTGGGCACTGAAAGCAGTGGCATAAGTGGTGCTTATGTGGTTCTTGGAGATGATTTAGTGCAGGGAAAAATAGTAACACACAGTTTTTGTTTGCTCTAAGTGTCACGCAACAATATGATAATTGATGTTTCTGATGATGAACCAGTCTGGAAGAAAGGGCGTTCATGTGCAGTTGTGTGCAAATAAATGTTGTAAAAAACATAAAAAAGATATTTTGGTGTAAGACGATTATGTGGAAGATTATACTTTTCTTGATTCACTGGATTAATGAGGCATTATCTTTAGGCAACTATTTGAAAACACACTGTAATATCCACTTACATTTGCTTTGAGTTCTGATTTCAGTCAAACTCTAAATTTGGTGGTAGTGTTCAACATGATGTAATTTCTGTTGACTGAAACAATAGAATAAAAAAAATGGACTTGTCTACTCTGTGGAACATAGCCACTTAATGTCATTCGAAGCATAAGATATGTTTATTACTGAAAGCTGAAATTAGCCCAAGAACTAGTGGGCTGTATTTGATACTTTAAGGGCATAAACTCAATGAGAAACATAATTAGTGATAACAGGCTTTTATGTTTGGCAGAGGTAGGCATCACATTTTGTTAACATACATTGCTTAATATTACTCTCTTGGCAGATTCTCCAAATGCTACTTTTTTCCACAGCAATATGTACCACTATACGTAACTTAATTATGAACAAGATTTTTTTGTTGTTGTTGATTGATTGCAGTTGAATGATGAAAATTCTGTGGTATTATCAAAGTGAAATATCATACTTTGTGCATAACAAGTATGAGTATTGTAACTTATCTGAGAGAGTTCAATTACACTACAGTTAAGAAATCGAGTTAGCCATGAGTTTGCTGTCTCAGGCTTCCTCACAATTCAGTGCAATATTGCAATGAACACTTTCTCTGAATGCCTTCTTTTAAATTTTTAAATTTTGTGTTATCCTGAAAAGAGAAGTCCTGAATTGTATTTTTACAATGATCCCTATAGACATTTAAATTTAACTAGTCAAAGCAATAAATCTTTCTTTTATTGCAGAATGTTTAATAGACAACACCTCAGTAAAATAATAGAAACATAGTAAACCTAAAATGTTCTTTTAATGTTTTAAATTTGAGTCATTCCTCTCTTTTTTAAAGGATGGGATTGGGGAGAAAAGAGTATTTCAGATTTTTATATTTAATTGAACTAACGGCGTGTGCTGACAAGTAATAAATAACAGCGATTCAGAGTGACTAAATAAATTGGTTTCCACAGCAATGATTCATCTTCTTTCATTGCCATCAAGCTAAGAGACAGCTTCTTTTTGTCAGCTTATAGGAAAAATATTTGATAGTGTAACAATCCTATTGCTAGTCCTGCAATAGAAGTTCTATTACCTTCTATAGTAGTTGCATTTTAAATTATTTAAATATAATAATTACATCTATGGTTGTTCATATACTTAAATCTTTGTGAAGTTATAAATGCAGTCTTTGTGGTGTTTTATAATATTCTGCTAGCGTCATTTTCCTCTTAATTTTTTCTTTGACTCATGGGTTACTTAGAAGTGTGTTACATCATTTCCTAATAGTTGGGGATTTTCTAAAGATCTTTCAGTTACTAATTTTTAATTTAATTCTATTGTCATAGTAAATATTTTATTTGACTTGAATCTTTTTAAATTTGAGATTTGTATTATGGCATAAATAATGGTCTATATTGGTAAGTGTTCCATGCACACTTAAAAAGAATGTATCCTACTGTTCTCAAGTGGAGTGTTATATAAATGTCAATTACGTCAAGTTGGTTGATGGTGGTGTTAAAATCTTTTCTATTCTTATTTTTTGTATATATCTTCTGTAATTATTGAAAGAGGGTATTATATTGCTGTATAACAAGCGACCACAAATTGGCCTTAAAACAGCACACATTTATTATGTCATCATAGTTTCCATAAGTCAGGAATCTGAGGATGGCATAGCTGGGTCCTCTGCTCAGGGTCTCAGAAAACTGCTATCAAGGTGTCAGCTTAGGCTTTAGTCTCATCTGAGGCTTGGAGGCCTCTTCTAAGCTCATGTGGCTGTTGGCAAAATTTACTTGTATCTATAGAACTCATGGTAGCTGGCTTTTTTCAAGGCCAGGTAGAACAGAGAGACTTGACTTCCATGCCTGACTTATAGACCAAACTTCAAAAGGGTCTACCTAATTAGGTCAGACCCACTCAGGATAATCTCTTTTAATTAAATCAAAGTCAATTGACAGGTGACCTTAATTCACTTTTTCCATATAATGTAACAATCATGAGAGTAAAATCCCATGATATTCACAAGTCCCAGTCAGGGATTACAGGACAGGTATAATGGGGGTGGTAATTTGGGGGACACTCAGGATTCTACCCATCACAAGGGGGTATTAAAATCTCCAACAATAATTGTGGATTTGGTTATTTCTCCCTGCAGTTCGATCAATTTTTGATTCAAGTATTTTGAAACTCTGTTATTAGGTATATAAATGTTTCAGATTATTATAACTTCTGGAAAAATTTATCCATTTATCATTATAAAATAACATTCTTATCCCTAGTAATGTACTTGGCTCTGAAATCTATTTTTTTCGGGTACTAATGTAGCCATTTCTGCTTTCTTTTGATTAGTGTTAGTAGGGTGCATCTTTTCAAACCTTTTATTTTAACTCTATTTGTGTATTTATATAGAAAGTTCCTAACTTACAGTGATTCGACTTATGTTATTTTGACTTTGCTATGGTGTGAAACCATCATAACTTTGACATAATGTACACTATGCAATAAATTACATGAGATATTCAGCTCTTCATTATAAAATAGGAATTTTTTTTTTTTGAGACAGAGTCTCGCTTTGTTGCCCAGGCTAGAGTGAGTGCCATGGCGTTAGCCTAGCTCACAGCAACCTCAAACTCTTGGGCTCAAGCAATCCTGCTGCCTCAGCCTCCCAAGTGGCTGGGACTACAGGCATGTGCCACCATGCCCAGCTAATTTTTTCTATATATGTTAGTTGGCCAATTAGTTTCTTTCTATTTATAGTAGAGAC